GTTAGCTGAGATTCTTCCCGTTAATCTGGTATAACACATTAATAGGTTTTTAAATATTAAGAAGCCCTGAGACACAGTTTTGTGAAAAAACACCCCGCAGCCCCCTCCACTGGGGGCTCTCTGGCTTAACAGGTGTTAACCTGAGATGTTAATTACCGGCTTCCCACAGTAGTAATTTGTTGCTCCCATTCTCCTTCTCTCTCACACACACACACACACACACACACACACACACACACACACACACACACACACACACACACACCCTCCTTCTCTTTCTTTGTAAGTGACGATAAGCTATTTGTTGACGTGTTAAAAGAAGCGTATAAATAAATATCTAAGTTGTTCGTGCCCCACCAGTTTCGTACATTAGTATCACGTCCAACACTCTTACATATTCAGTTTCTTATTTTTAAGTTCACTTATTTCAGTAAATCTATCTCAATTGATTTCCTATTTTAAGTATAAGGTCTTAAACAATATACATTTTTTCCTGTTTCTTATTTTGTTGTTTTTAGTTTTTATTTAGCTTGATTTGTTTACTTGGTTTATATAATCACCTTTTTTATTCCTATGTTAATTTAATTCTTCTAGCAATATCTGGCAAAGGAATTTGATCCCAGATCAATGAAGTCCAACCTTATCTTATCATGATTCCCTGTATATTTATCTATTTGTCTATAATAATAATAATAATAATAATAATATTATTTTTTATTTTATTGTACCTTTTAAACACTGTTTTCGAGGGTTTAGTTTTTATTGTATTTTCATTTAATTCCCCTGAGCATTGCAACTATTTTCTAAACAATTCTTTACTAATTTAAATTTATTTTTTTGAATAATTTTTCTCCAATCCAAGTCCAATTATATCTTATCTTAATTGACTATCAACGTATCTGTTTGATAGATACATATTATGATTGCTAAGTTCTTGTGGTCCGTTGCTGAGTTTCTTGACTGCAGATCTTTTATCTGAGAAACCTCCCTCAGATCCTCAGTTTCTGGATCGTCTGCAGATCTACTCTCAGAGACGTTTTGGTTCAGATCTCCTTCAGATGTGGATCAGCAAATCCTGGATCAGTTTGATCCCATGGTCTGTGAGGAACCTGCATGATGTCAGGCTGTAAAATCCCTGCAGCTTTTTCTGTTCTGTCTGCACGCTCCACAAAACATCCAACCTGTCCGGATGATCAGATCATCTCCTGTGGACTCTGACGTACTCTGGAGATCTCATAACCTACTGTTGATTCATCTTTAATGCATATTATACACGTGGTGGAGCATCGCTGTCCTCTCTTTACAACAATACACTTGACTTTTCTCACTTTTGTTGCATTTTGTAATCACTTTTCCCCATTTTACCTAAACCATCCCTTCAAGAAATACTCAATGTTTTGTACCACAGTTCTCAAACGTTGGTAAATCACCTGTTTCCATTTCACATTAACCAATAATAATAATAATAATACATATTGAAAAAGAAATAATGCATCCAGCACATTATTGTCTATTTATTTTTTAAATAAAAAATAATAGTATTAGTATTATAGACAAATCGATAGATAGACAGGGAATTTAGATACTGTATAATGGGACTTCATTGATCTGGGATAAAAGGATTGTGCTTTAAAAATGACATCAATACAATAATTAAAACGTTAAAAATAGTAGAAAATAAACAAATAATAATAATAGCTGCAAGAGTAAGTTCCATTAGGTTGAATAAGTAAACTAAAATAAAACACTAGACAACGGCAAGGACACGGTTCACTTTATTAATCCCCGAGAAAAGTATTGTAACATCATCTTTTTTTAAAAGCACGCAAAGATAGAAACAACAGAAAAATACATAAAAAATTGTAGTAAATAAATAAAAAGAGATGCAAGAGTAATAAATAAATAAATAAATAAACATAAGAAAATTAACAAATGAAGGAATAGGGCTAGGGGTTAGGAGTTAGGGTTAGTGTGTCAGTTTGTCCGGGTTAGGGTTAGGAGTTAGGGTTAGTGTGTCCGGGTTAGGGGTTAGGAGTTAGGGTTAGTGTGCCCGGGTTAGGAGTTAGGGTTAATGTGTCCGCGTTAGGAGTTAGGGTTAGGGTGTCAGTGTGTCCGGGTTAGGGGTTAGGAGTTAGGGTTAGTATTTCTGGGTTAGGGGTTAGGAGTTAGGGTTAGTGTGCCTGGGTTAGGAGTTAGGGTTAATGTGTCCGGGTTAGGAGTTAGGGTTAGGGGTTAGGAGTTAGGATTAGTGTTCCCGGGTTAGGAGTTAGGGTTAATGTGTCCGTCTTAGGAGTTAGGGTTAGGGTGTCAGTGTGTCCGGGTTAGGGGTTAGGAGTTAGGGTTAGGGTGTCAGGGTGTCAGGGGCCTCATTTAAAAAACGTTGAGGTCCCAGAAGTACAGAAAAATCAAATAACCTCAAATGAATTTCAATAAAAGATAGTGTCCCGTTGCCTTATTGTCTGGGGTGAAAGGGAGGTAACAGAATATAATAATATAATGTAATAACCGGGAGAAAAAGAGAAATATGTATTTTTCCATAAAGGTAAAGGCAACACGTGTTTTTAAAAAGTAGACTGGATCCAGTTCAGCTGTAATTATTCAACAAATGTGTTATTCAAATCTTCTCAATGAGTGCCAGTAAGAGATTTATAGTAAGGGCGACTGTGGCTGTGAGGGAGTGCGGTCGTCCTTCAACCAGAAGGTTGTGGGTTCGATCCCAGCCCATGCAGTCAACATTTCGATGTGTCCTTGGGCAAGAAACTTAACCCTGAGTTGCTCCCGATGGCATGGCCAACGGTGTGTGAATGTTAGTTCCTAGAGTCATGTGCACTGCTCTGTGTGAATGGCATGTAGTATGTAAAGCTCTTTGAGGGGTCTTAAAGACTGGATAAAGCGCTATCTAAGTACAGTCCATTTACCATAGTGAAGATGCAATATATTTCACTGAAGTTTAATTTATAGTATTGAAGAAAACAGATAAATAAATGTAGTAAATATATAAATAGCAGACAACCTTTATTGTGCTTAAACTCAGGGACAATGGGACACTCCACCCTGAATTGCTCCTGTTGGGAGTGTCCATATTATTCAATGTATTACATGTCTGATATGTGTAATAAGTACCTTGGAAAAGCAATTAATTATTATTGTTAATGACATTTCACAGGTTTCTCTCAATTCAGTGAACATTTTTTTAAATAACATGAAAGCAGTGATGAAATGGTCATAAAATAAGAAATACAAATAGTAATAATAAAAATAGTAACAGGAAAGAGAGGAACGAGAATAATTTAAAAAGCACTGTGTGTGTGTGTGTGTGTGTGTGTGTGTGTGTGTGTGTGTGTGTGTGTGTGTGTGTGTGTGTGTGTGTGTGTGTGTGTGTGCGCGTGCGCGTGCGTGCGCGCGCGCGCGTGCGTGCGTGCGTGCGTGCGTGCTTGTGTAAATAAATATGATTATAATAGCAATAAGCAAACCGGATAAATATGTTTTGGTAACCCTAACTGTAGTTTTATCCACAACGTAACTTAAAAACTAATAATAATTCTAAAGAGGAACCCCTCCCTTGTCATTCTGTAGTTTTATCTGTGTTTTGTTGTAGTATTACAAAGCCTTTTATAAACAGCAGAATGAATGAGCGGGACAGTGAAGGCGGCATTTTAAATCCCCGCCGAGACACTTCCTCGCCTCGAGGCTTATCCCGATTTGTATTGACACGGAAGTCTAATCAATATGAGTCGTTGTTCAGATAATCGGTGTATTATCTGAAACATGTGTCGCTCGCGTGGCTAACATCATGCCGCCAAACATATTGATTATATTTTTTTATTTGAGTAGATTTGTTTTATTTGTAAGCCACTCAATTAACCGGCTATGTGTGGCTGCTGTTGAGTTAAGCTACTTTTAAAATCTCAATAACATTTGTTATGTTTGTGTCAGTAAAGAGTGTTTGCATGCTTGTGTCAATATACACTTATTATAAGTTGCATTGGACAATCTGCACAACTTATTACTAACCATAATTAATATTATAGGTTATCCACTTAATTTGCTTTGCCCAGAAAGAAGAATTAAGCTATTTATTATTTTATTTTTGTACTTTTTTATGTGTTTACTCCCAGTCGTCCCCACATTAAAACCCTTTTAACTAATTAGCGTTCAAACTCTCCTAATCGTCTTCAGTAAGAGTTAAATACAAGTTACGGTTAAGACCGTAAAAACACAAAACCCCTCAGAAAATCCCTTTAGTGTCATATATAATGTCAATTATAGGTCGTCGACCTTCTCTTCAAAACACCCTAAGGATCAGAGTGGGTTAGCACTGTGGGATTAAAGGTTAACGATTAAGTATCGGGGTGTAAAAGAGTAAATCATCGTATGATATGATGATGATGATGATGATGTAGATAGAAGTAAGTCAAAACTTCTCCGGGAACTTTTTTCCTTACTCGTTGTTTTTGAGTAATTGTTTTCCAGTCGGTGATTACATGTCAGTGCAATAATGCAAAGTCTTAGTCGTGACATCTCCTCTGTCTGTGACACATTGCGGATTTGTGGAGTGTAAGATTAGAGCTTTAAATCTCTGCTTCCCAATTCGACCGTGTCGAGGCGGGCGGGGCAATTTCTAGGTGTTGTCTGAACACCAGGATGGGATAAAAAGACACTTGAACATTTGGATCATCTGTCTCACACCGGAGATCTTTTAGACGTTGTTTATGCTCTCCTTGATGGACTCTCTCTCACCTGATAACTTTTAGACGTTGTTTTTTACGTTGTCGGTGCTCTTTCTCACACTGGAGATCTTTTAGACGTTGTTTTTTACGTTGTCGGTGCTCTTTCTCACACTGGAGATCTTTTAGACGTTGTTTTTTACGTTGTCGGTGCTCTTTCTCACACTGGAGATCTTTTAGACGTTGTTTATGCTCTCCTTGATGGACTCTCTCTCACCGGAGATCTTTTAGACGTTGTTTATGCTTCTTCCATAATGAACTTCTGCATCCCAGACATGTATGAGATGCCCCACTCTGGGAACGGAGGTTTCGCGGTGCAGGGTGGAGGTTTCGGAGGGGGGGAACACTGCATGTTTCAAGGTGAAGGTCCTGGGTTCGGATACTGTGATTCCCAGCCTCTTCACCACCTCCAGCCGCCTTGCATGGAACAAACATGGCCGCCAAGCCAGCAGTTTTCCTGTGCGTTCGCCAACGGGCCTCCGGCGTTTAAGAACGAGTTTTGCAGCCGGGACGTTCCTCTGAGTCACTTCCAACACCAGCAGCAGCCAGAGTTCTTCCCCGAGATCTCACCTGACTTCGCTCACCTGCAGTGGATGCAGGGAGAAAACAGGAGAGGTATGGCGTCCGGGGGAAAGATAGAGGATTTCATTTTGGGGTTGACGTTGAATTGTTTAGAAGGTCTTCTCTCAGGGTTGTGATTTTTAAGGGTTCGTTTGGGGGAATTAGAGAAGAAGCTTCCATTACATTTGGATTTTTGTTTTTTTTGTTGATTTTTGGTAACTCTTCCATTACATTACATCATTTACTTTTATTTGTATTATTTATTTAGCATCTTTGTGTAGAAAGAGGCAGAAAGCCCACTGGGTTTATTTGAAGCTCCAACCTCAATATGAGTGAAACACATGTTAGATACAGGGAAAAGCAGAGGAACAAACAGCAGATAAATGTATTTTTGCAACATTATATAGAAAAACTGTGATTTGCCTATTGGGAAAAGCCATTTGTTTTAAATGTACACCTAAAAGTAAACTAGAAACTGACCTCTGCAGGTGATATACTTACGAGAACGAAGATTTAAGATTGACTAGTTGCGTAAGAATTAACCCGTTAACTCGCTTTTAATCCAAACCGAGTAACAATGAGTGCATTCAAGCATAGAATCAGAAATCAGAAATCCATAGTTCATTCTGCTGCGGGGAAAATGTTAAATAATAAAGAGGCAAGGACATGTTTTGATGGAAAATCAGATAAGTTCACAGCCATGGAAGAGATATAAGTGGCAGCATGTCTGACGTTAGCAGATAAAGGTAATGAGGTAGTGACATAACAGTGTGTAAAACGTGTATAATGCACATAGTACTCTCAAAAATCCTACAAATACGTATTTTATAACTTTTAATAAGCCAAAGCTTTTCAATTTCTACGTACAGAAGTGAGAATGTGTTTCTGTATGATTGGCCAACGTCCATTGGAAACAGGTTGGTCTTTAAGTACTCGGCATGACTCTATATGACCGGAAAGCTGGTTCCTGGAGACTTCATTGATTAATCGATCAATGAAGTCTCGGATTTGTTAATTATAGTTAATACGCGTAAATCCAAGATGCAATGCGTCACACGGCCGATCGGCTCTGGTGCTTCTGATGCTCAGAGTTAGTATTGATTGATAGTGAGGCAACAGAAGGCCGATTAATAAAACACCCGAATAAAAGGTATTGATCAGATTTTTGTAATATAAAGCACTGAGCTCATTAAGCCCAATCCCAATATTGGGCCAGGTGTTGAGGCACGATATTAACAAGCTATGTATGGAGGCTGTAGCTAGGCAGGAATTAAGCTACTTTTAAAACTCCATGTTTCGATAATCAAGCAGAACATTTACACAAAGGAACATTTGATAAGCAGCATGTAGAGAATAGAAAGAGCTTCTTAGATTTATCTTTGATACCCAATTTCAAATGGTAAAGAAGTAACAGAGTTGACATCGTTGCCATACCGATGTTAACAAAATATGTTGTGTATCCTCTTCAAATTTAAATGGTTTCTTTGTTAGCCAATGCTACACTTTTCCACCAACTTACATGGATATCGGACAAACAAAGAGAAGAGAAACCTCTTTGTTGAGTAACTAATAATTAAAACTAGTAAAAGTAAAAACTCCATGCATTGCTTTTCGATAATCAACCACCAAATGTACACAAAGGAACATTTGATATACAGTATTTAAAGTATAAACATAGCTACCTAGGTCTATCTTTGATCCCCTCTTGTTTAAACAGTTTCAAGTTTACTTTAAGAAGCAACGACAAACATAAATGTAAATTGGAAGAGCATTCAGAAAGCCTTGACATCCGCCTTTTCCTACCTCGCAATGGTGAAATAAGTTGAGATATTTTGTGTATCCTCCTGAAAATTAGGTGGTCTTTCTCTTGGGCCATGCTACACGTTTCCACCAATTTACATGATGATTGGTCAAGTAGTTTTTCCTGCAGACTGACAAACAAATATTACCAGAAACCTCCTTATCGGAGTTATTGTGGTTCTGGTTCTTTGTTTGATTGCCTGCAGGAAAAACACCAATTATCATGTAAATTGGTGAAAAAGTGAAGCATGGGCAAAGAAAGAAACCATGTAAATTTGAAGAGGATACACAAAATATATTTAAACATTGTTAACAATCGATGATGGCGTTGGCGGGAATTGGTGCTCTTCAAAGAATCTTATAGTTTATTGTGTCTTTTGTTGCAAGAAAAATAAAATATCTGCGAATCCTCTTCAAAATGTGATGGCTTATTTCTTGGTCCATGCTACACTTTTCAACCAATTGTCATTCAACCTGGGCTGGTAGTTTTTCCTGCAGACCAACAAACAAACCTATATTATATATAACCTATATTCATTACTTACAAAGCCCTCAACAACCAGGCCCCCCCCTACCTCACAGACCTGCTGCACCACCACACCCCTTCCCCCTACCTCACAGACCTGCTGCACCACCACACCCCTTCCCCCTACCTCACAGACCTGCTGCACCACCACACCCCTTCCCCCTACCTCACAGACCTGCTGCACCACCAAACCCCTTCCCGCTGCTTCCGGTCATCAGAAGCCAACCACCTATCCATCCCAACCCGCACCAATCACCGGACCTGGGGGGACAGAGCTTTCTCCGTCGCTGCCCCCTCCCTCTGGAACTCACTCCCACAAACCATCAGAGACTGCACCGACCTCACCACCTTCAAAACACTCATAAAAACTCACCTCTTCAATCTGGCTTTTCATGTGTGATTGCTTTTGTATTATTTGACTTTAATTTTAACTATATATTTATTTGTTGTTCCTTTCTTCTCTTTTCTTTTTTCTTCACTATTATCTGTAAAGTGTCTTTGAGCACCTGTAAAAGCGCTAACAAATTAAATCTATTATTATTATTATATACCCATAAATATAAAGGAAAACTGTCTATATTAAAATCACCTCTTAATTTTCTGGTTTCCTTTTTGGTCAACATCAAATAAAATCCAGGATGAAAACATACGAGAACAGAAGTTATGACTACAAATCTAGGGATCTCTTTTACTCCCGAATAAAACAACATTATATCACCTTTTAGTGAGTTCTCGCTTTAATCCAAAGTGCACCAAACGTGAAAATACAAAATCCTGCAAGTAAATTCTTCCGCTTTCAAAACTACTACTATTCTTTTATTCCATTACGTTTATTTATTGTGTTCCTTTCTGTTGTCTTCTTATTAAGTGTTAAGGATGATATACCTTACTACTGCATTGGCTTCAAATAACCCAAACATTTCCAGTGCTACAGACGTGAGATTTATTTTTCTATCAGCCAAAGTCAGTTATAAATGGTATTAACCATTCCTTCTTCTCTGCAGGGTATATTCCCAGTTACCTGGACAAGGATGAGCTCTGTGTCGTATGTGGGGACAAAGCCACGGGTTATCACTATCGCTGCATCACCTGTGAAGGGTGCAAGGTAACAAGAGGACAGAGAGGGCAAAAGTACACACATCCTTTACTCAAGTAGAAGTACAGATATTCGTGTTTAGCAGAAGTATTGACTAAACTTCTTTACTCAAGTCAAAGTAAAGAGGCTTTGAAATGTACTTCAGTAAAAAGTACCCATAACTAGCAGCTGTTTTAAAGAGTACCTGACCTCCCTTTATATTAATAGAACAATAATGTCATTGTTAGCTAATGAATGTTTCCATGCTGAACAACGGCAACATGACAACGTTTTCATTGGTCCCTCTTCTTTAGAGAAGACCAGGAAATGATGGATACACGGATCGTGTTCAAATCAATAGGCACGCAATGACTCTAAATAATAATGATCACGCCACCAAACACACATTCAAACTAAAGGAACCAGCCTGTTTGGAAAATGTCAGAAGTAGAAAGTACAGGTATTTGGGTTCAACATGTAAGAAGTAGAAAGTACAGGTATTTGGGTTCAACATGTAAGAAGTAGAAAGTACAGGTATTTGAGTTCAACATGTGAGAAGTAGAAAGTACAGGTATTTGAGTTCAACATGTAAGAAGTAGAAAGTACAGGTATTTGAGTTCAAAGTGTAAGAAGTAGAAAGTATAGGTATTTGGTTTCAACATGTAAGAAGTAGAAAGTACAGGTATTTGTGTTCAAAATGTAAGAAGTCAAAGTAAAAAGTCGTCAGAAAAATAAGTAGTGGAGTAAAGTACTGATACCAGAAAGATGTACTTAAGTACACTAACGAAGTATTTGTACTGCACTACTTCCCATCTCTGCAAGTGGATGTTTGCAGCTTCATTTGGTGCTTTTTATTTTTGAAATTATTCTGAGTTTTTTGCGTTGTGTCTGATCTCCAGGGATTCTTCAGGCGGACGATCCAGAAGAACTTGAATCCGACGTACGCCTGTAAATACGAGGGAAATTGCGTCATCGACAAAGTGACGAGGAACCAGTGCCAGGAATGTCGCTTCAAGAAGTGCATCGCGGTGGGAATGGCAACCGACTGTGAGTTTACAGACAAAGAGGAATACAAAACTAGGGTTAGGGTTGGACAAAATTAGTGTTAGACCAAGTTAGGGTTGGACAACATTTGTTAGACAAAATGAGGGTTGGACACAAGGTTCGAGGTTCTTTATTTGTCATACGAACATAGCTACAGTGTAGTTATGTCGATGAAAATCCTAGGTCACAGGCTCCTCCAACAGTGCAACACAATAATACAGAAAAACAGAAAAATATAGTGCAAGTAAATATTAAAAAGTAAATACAAAAAGAAAAATAGTTGAAAAAAAGTGAAATAAGAGTCTATATGCAAGCTATTGGAATGATATATTAGAGACATAATATGACTAAGTAGGCAGTTTTGTTTTATGAATGGGTTTGTATGTGTTTTTGACTTTGCATATCGTTTTTGTATTTAGAGCGTTTTTCTGTTGCGTTTGTTTTCAGGGTTTGTGTGTTGTATTTAGTTTGCATCATTTTTGTAAATGCAGTTTTTCATTTCATTATTTGCAGCTGTTTCCTGCTTATGAATTCGTGGTTTTAGGTCGGATGCTGGGTAAGTGCCGGCCAAGACGGCAGCAGACTGAACAGCATGTAGCTGGGATGATGGGGTCTTTGATAATCCTGAGGGATTTCTTCCTGAGCTGCTGGGAGTAAAGGTCCTCCATGGATGGCAGCTCCGTCCTGGTGATGTTCTGTGCAGCTTTCACCACCCTCTGTAAAGCCTTACGATTGAGGGCGGTGCAGCTGCCGTACCAGGCCGTGATGCAGCCAGTCAGGATACTCTCTATGGTGCACCTGTAGAAGGTCAGGATGCTCTCTATGGTGCACCTGCACAATTAGGGTTAGACACAATTAGTTAGACAAAATTAGGGTTGGACCAAATTAGAGTTAGACAAAATTAGAGTTAATACAAATTAAAGTTGGACCAAATTAGAGTTAGACAAAATTAGGGTTAGACAAAATTAGGTTTGGACAAAATTAGGGTTGGGCCCAATTATAGACATTTTTCTTATAGACATTTTTATTCATTGGGATAAACCCCTTGATATGCACCATCTCGTTTTCTTACTGTTAGCCCGCTAAGTTAAATGGGGAGGGTTAGGAAAATGCATTCACTCATTCATACATTACATTTAAATTCAATGTCGGATGTAGACTCGTACAGTTAGAATGAAAAGTAGAATTGACATAAAGAAAGGCATTAGGTGTTAAAATGTGTTGCTAATTAAAGACCTTTTTGGATATTTGTGGAATAACCTCTTTTGGCTGCTTCTTCCTCTTCCTCCCTTCTCAGTGGTATTGAACGACAGCAAGAGGCTGGCGAAGAGGAAACTGATCGAGGAAAACCGGCAACGGCGTCGGAAAGAAGAGCTCCAGAAGACGGTGTGGGATCGCCAGGAACCGACGCAGGAGGAGTGGGATCTGATCCGAATGGTGACGGACGCCCACATGACCACAAACGCACAAGGAAACCACTGGAAACAGAAGCGGAAATTCCTGGTGAGACATCAAAAATGCCTCCGTCGCTTCGCTAAAAACAGCCACAAAAAAACCCTCACAAACCTTCCTGTTTCCCCAACACCTCGTCCACCCTGTGTTAATATGTCCATGTGTTTTTTGTATCCCCTTGTAGAGTGGGGAGAGTTAGCGGGACGATGGAGCACATGTGTGTTCCTCAACGCAATAATGGAACATATTAATTTCGTCTTTTTTATGCAATGATAATACTATCGCTCATATTAATAACATTGCTTTTTTTGTGCTGTTTTTCATTTTTCTCTCTCTGTGTGTTTGTAGCTTTCACACCTCGCTCTTTATTTTATTTTTTTGACTAATTTTGTCGTGAAAACTAATCGCTTTGTCCAGATTTATTAAACGTTTTCCACTGTTGACTTTTGGGTTTCTGTGGCAGGATCAGAACAAAACACTTCAGTTGAAACGTTTTTTTTAACCGCCATTAAAGCGATTTACGAAATGTTTTGAAATTAGCGGCTTAACATTTTGTAAAGTTTTCCAAGAAAGTCCCTTTAACATGCGTCACTTAACACGAATAATATGTTTTCTAGTATTAAGGAATATATTCACTATTTTTGCAATTGTAGCTTGCCGTTTCCTACCAAAAAGCTGGTTAGGGTTTAGGGTTAACCCTAACCCTAATTTACGTTGTGGAAATACATGAGAATTCATTGATTAAAGTCGTACAAATGTCCCGTTACGCCTATTGGATATTATTTAAACATTCGTCTGTTATTTATAACGCAAATCTAACATTTCCTGCGTCGTCAAGTGTGAGAAAGCACTGAAATAAATGTTTTTAACGGGTGTTAAAGCGAAAGACCATTTTTACCGCATATGAAATAAGTGACTTAAAATGTTGTCAAATTTTCCGGGAAAGTCACTTTAACATTTGTGACACTACAGTTCTCTAATACGAAGGAATCTATTTACAATATTTGCATATAATTCCAAATGATACCGTAAATGTGCTTTTACGTCGTTGAAAAACATGAGAAATTATTGATTAAATTCATGCAAATGCCCCATCACGCCTATCGGATATTATTTAAATATTCGTCCGTCATTTATAACAAAAATCGAACATTTCCGGGTCGTCAAATGTGCAAAATCAAAAAAAATCATACAAATATTTTGGTACCACTTTACAATAAGACTACCCTTCTAAAGGCTTTACGAATAGTTTGTTATTCATTTATTAATTGGGTTGTGAACACTTTATAAATCATTAATAAGCTGTTATAAGACATGAGATAAACAGGGCAACTGTAACTGTGACCGGTTGCTTGCCAAATAGTGAGCCCACATTTATCTGTACTGCTAAGTCTTATATTGGCTACTTAGCTTACTTCGTCTTCCTCATCAGCCAGCATCCTTGGTATCTGTTGCTCACTGAGTTGATTCTCGCTAAGTAGCCAATATAAGGCTTAGTCATCTTGCCAAATAGTGAGCCTGTGTAAAAATGGTTAAGTGATGTTTATGTATTGTAATATATGGTTGTGCAAAAGGAGGTATCATTAAAGGTGGGGTATATATATATGAGAACTAAGTTCACTTTAAGATTTGTCAATTTACAATTCACTATATTTGCGATTGTTTAAGTCATGCAAATGTCCCGTCACGCCTATCAGACATTATTTTAAAATGCGTCTGTTATTCACGACAGAAATCAAACAGTTTCGATCGAAGTCCTGAGTCTGAATCTTGCCACAGAAACCCATCTTGAATTTCTCTGCTCACCTGTTCTCTACCTGCCCACTCTCTCATCTCTCTTCAGTTTAACATATTTTATTTTTAGCCGGCTTGACGCAGGTTCTTCTTTGAAATTTCACAATTCCTGTTGATTATCCACAGGTCGAGGAAGCAATGCTTCTTAATGAAATAACATGTAATTTATTCTATACTTCTGACCAGAGTGCTGCAGGGGTGAAGGAAGATAAGGTACGGAAACTAAAATATTAATTTAAGCTACACATGCTAGTTTCCATTTACATGCATTGAATTTCGAGCTACATGTCTAGCAATGCATCCCAACGACATATAGACCGAGCAAAGCCAATTAAACAAAAAGTAAATCCTTAAATACTTCACACTTAACCTCAAATCTCTTGACACATAATGCTAAGATAACCATTTCCTCGTGCTTTTTGATTTACCGCTCTGCTCTTTGCTTTTCAGCCTGAGGATATTGGTCAAGCGTCGATGGTCAATACGCCGGAAGAAAACAAAGTGGATATAGAAGCCTTCAGTCAGTTTACAAAAATTATCACCCCTGCCATAACCCGAGTGGTGGACTTTGCCAAAAAACTGCCTATGTTTTGTGATGTAAGTGTGAAAAAAAGAGGATAACGCGTTCTCTGTTCGAACTGTCTCTAATTAAACATATCATTAGTGCCATATTGCACAATTATATTAAGGAAACACATTGTTTATTAGAACAGACCCCTTAAAAAGTTGTGGATTTAGGTTTTGCAAGTTGACTTGACTGAGACAAATTGCAATTAGGGCTTCGGCTTACTCCTTATTAATGAATCTTTTATAGATTTACTGGTAATTTTGAGTCTGAAAAGTGTCCGTAAAATGCTAAAAAATGCAAATGACTAATAGTTCAAGCTGATGTCTTTAAATGTCAATCCAAACGTATAGATTATCACTTTCATGTCATATAAAATAGAAAATCTCTATATTTCTGAGGCCAAAAAACTGTATTTTTTTAAAAATATTAATTTATTGGGAATTAAATGTCCACATTTTTTGTCTGTCCACTCTATGAGGTTAACTTTTAATGTCTTGATAAAACATTATTTATCATGTTAACGTATAGCTAATGCTCATAGTTAGCCCTTTGGTTAGTTAGCAGTATAGAGGTGATTGTATATAACATTAAAAGGTACCACTTTACAATAAGACTACCCTTATAAAGGATTCATAAAGGGTTTATAATTAGGTTATGAATTAGGTTGTAAACACTTTATTAATCATTAATAACAATTTATAAACCAGTTCTAACATAGATTTCATACATCAACACAGGCTCACTATTTGGCAAGATGACTAAGCCTTATATTGGCTACTTAGCGAGAATCAACTCGGTGAGCAACAGATACCAAGGATGCTGGCTGATGAAGGAGACGAAGTAAGCTAAGTCGCCAATATCAGGCTTAGCGGTACAGATAAATGTGGGCTCACTATTTGGCAAGATGACTAAGCCTTATATTGGCTACTTAGCTTACTTCGTTTTCATCATCAGCCAGCATCCTTGGTATCTGTTGTTCACTGAGTTGATTCTCCCCCATCCAGTGGCGGTGCCAGAGTATGGCTGGGGTAGGCTACAGCCATACCAAGAGATGGCTTAGCCCCACCTTAGCCCTACCATGAAAAATAATGTTAAAGTAAGCATGTTGAGAACACGG